AAAAAAAAAAAAAAAAAAACTCTTGGATTCTTTTCTTTAAATGTTCCTCATTTCTTATATTATCAGTACAATTCATGAAAAGCTAATCAAAAAGGAAGAAGTATTAGGATTTCTTTGACTTTTGGGAAAACTAAAAGAAAACAGAACTCAATGTGCAAGTGCATTAAAAAACCAGTTCAATAGATATGCAAATCATAGAGGTACTCCCTCTATCCTAAAAGGCTTGACTTTTTCTTTTTCTTTACATAAAAAATGTTCACATTTTTCTAATTAATAATCCAATTACACAAATTTGAGACATCACACAAAAGTGTAGTTCTTGATCATCTTATCCACATCAAAATATCAAACGGTAGATTAGTCAATTAGTAGGATTAACTCAATAACATTTTTAGTCCCTCGAAAGAATCTATATCCCCAATTTCTAGCATCACTAAGTATTTATTATCTCAATACATAATTTGCAAACTGGGAAATTTCTTGTCCACACAGATCTTAAAGATTTCCAGCCTGACAACATAAATATGAGGACGGGCCGACAGTGACCGATGCTCGAGATCTAGTGACAAGACTGTCTTTTGTCCAAGAGAGAGCAGCATCACTAACTGAAAATCTGTCCGTCTAAAAAATAACAGCTTTGACATGGGCGATTGCATATTTAGCTCTAAAAATCCAATTCCAGAAGCAAAATTATCATCAGTCTGGAATACAGCAGAAACCAGGTTGTTAGTTCTAATGTTGGATTACCTGAGCTGCTGCCCCAGTCTTTGGTAAAATAGAATGCATCCGATTTGTGAAATCAACGAATTAACCATTCAAAAATTGAAGGAGTATTCTCTTATCCATCTTCTTTGATGATGTTTATTATTGCAAAACAAGTAAAGTTTCTTTTCCTTCATTGTGGGTTGAATCTGTAGAGCCAAGACTTAATAAGAAGCGTACACTTCAATATAAAAATCCCTGGCTTTAGCTACATTATTGTGAAGCAGTTTGGAAGGTGGTATTACCTTCCCAGTTATAGGTGCAAATAGATTAGCCAAGTTCTTTTAAGTCACCGCAGTAGAAAGCTGATTGATGCTTTGAAACCACCAACCACTTGAACAAATATGGTAAGCCAGATTTCACGATCATTGCCATCTCCAAGAAACTCTAAAAGTACTCGCAATGAAGATGGAGAAGTCTATGAGGGGCCTGCTCTTAAGATAACTCAGACACAATATATTGAAGAGCTCCAAGATCTTATCTCCGGCGTAAGAGCTGAAAACATTAGGACTACATAAACAGTATGCCTCTCACATAACTTTCTAAGCTGTCACAATAGACTAACCTTGCCACCAATGGATATGATGCCAAAATTAGAAGTTACAGATGAAAAAAATCAAAATGCTATAGAAGTTAAGGTCATATGCAAAAACAAGAAGATTGACTAGTTTACCAGAGAGAGAGAAAGAAGGAGCCAAAGATTGAACGAAGAAGACACAACTGTTTACTGAAGATAAAAAGTGAGAAGAATAAGTCACAAGCGAACCTGGCGATCATGCGATGCTATCAGTAGAGTCCATGCCTGTGTTCATGGTGTTTCTTCATGAAACAAGCTTCTGCCCCACTGTATTCACTATGCCCAATTCTTTGAACTCCAGCACTTAAATGCCCCACTGTATTCACTATGCCCAATTCTTTGAACTCCAGCACTTAAATGCCCCACTGTATTCACTATGCCCAATTCTTTGAACTCCAGCACTTAAACTGCAGACATAAATGCTCCAAAACATCAATAGGGGTTTAACAGCATTGTCGAATTATTATTCATAGCAAGGAATATTGCAAATGCTCAGCAGGATGTACATGACATTTCCTTCAAATGATTTAAACCCCAAAATAGACAACTCGGTCCAAATTCTTCGTGTAACCAAAATTTATAATTTGAGAAATCACTATGAGGAAGTTGAGCCCATCCTGCTATAAGCGGGTTCTTTCCTTATATTATTCGTTTCCATCAACACTCTGATTTCATTCGCATCATCCCACCTTCCAGCATCGGCATACATGTTATATAGCAAACAATAAGGGCCTGAACTCTCCGGTTCCAGGCGCATTAGCGCTTCAGCTGCTATTCGCGCAAACTCAACATTGTTGTGCACCCTACAAGCACCTAATACTGCACCCCAGACAGCCTTATCTGGCTCCACTGGCATAGTGCTAATCACTTTCATGGCCTCCTCAAGCTGTCCATCGCGGCTAACAATATCTACAAGGGAGGCAAAATGCTCAACCTCAGGTTTGATGCCAAATTCAGAGTCCATTGATTTAAAATATAACCGACCTTGTTCCACTAAACCAACATGAGCACACGCATTCAGAACTGAAATGAACGTGATGCGAGTTGGCCTCACTTTAAGGCACTTCATTAATTCAAAAAGCTCTAGGGCTTCAAATGCAAAACCATGAGATGCATATCCTCCGACCATTGCATTCCATGAGATTACGTCTTTTTGAAATTTCATATTATCAAAAATTGTCCTTGCTTCATGTATTGCACCACATCTTGCGTACATAGTTATTAGGGAATTGTTTAAAGGTATATCTGGTATTACAGTCTTTGACACTAGCTGATGAATCTGCATACCCAGAAACAAAGCCACAGTTTCAGCACAAACACTTAGAAGTGAGGAGAGTGTGTGCCTATCAGGTTTCTCTCCTGCCTGTTGCATCTCCATGAAAAGCTTTATTGCTCCTTTATAGTCTGCATTTCTTTCACACCCAGAGATCATGGAATTCCAAGAAACCCGATTCTTCTGGGGCATCCTTTCAAAATAATCACGGGCCAATTCCAACTTCCCCGTCTGTGCATATCCAGAGATTATTGAATTCCATGATAGTACATCAGGATTTCGCATTTTAGAGAACAGGTTTGATGCTTCATCCATATTTGAGGCATGAACATAGCCACTAACCATTGTGTTCCATGAAAATGTATCCCTCTCCATCATCTGATCAAAAAGCTCTCTTGCAGAAACCATAACTCCGGCTTTGATATAAGCCATGATCATGGAATTCCATGATACCACATTTCTCTCAAATCTCCTATTTCTGCTAATTTCTTGACCACTACTATAAGAAGGAACTTTATCAAAAAGGCGTCTAGCATCACCAACCCTTCCTTTCTGACCATATCCAGCAATCAAAGTGTTATAAGCATGAATCAAATCTTCTTTCCCATCATTGCTTTCTCCAAATTCATAAAGAACATTTTCAGCCTCATCCAATTCCTCATTCTGGATCAAACCCGATACAAGGGCACCAAGAGAAGCTGAATCCCTCTCCGGCATTCTCTTGAAATATTCAACAGCAGTTTTCACATCCCCATTACGCAAAAATCCAGAAATAACCGCATTCCAGGACACAACATTCTTATCAGGCATACAGTTAAAAAGCTTCAGTGCCTCATTCATTTTTCCAGCTTTAGCATACCCACTAATCATCGTGTTCCAGGAAATGAAGTCTCTGCCAGGCATTTCATCGAACAATTTTCTACCTTCCTCCAAATGTCGACAGGACAGATAACCAGAAATCATTAAATTCCAGGAGACAACATCTCTCTGCGGCATTTTATCGAACAGGTATCTTGCTTTCACAATCTCACGCTGTTGCACGTACCCACTTATCATTGAGTTCCACGTAACCGTATTTCGATGCGTTAACATACCGAATAATCTTCTGGCATCCTCTACTCGACCATTTCGAATTAAATTCGTGATGTTCTTGTTCGCTCTACGTATGTCTGGAGGAGTATCAGAAATCTTGGTCGAACGACAACGTATTAGTTGACCAGAAACATATGGTGCAATGAGATGGCTTAGTTGCCTGTTTATTGCAGACCTCCTTAAGCTGCTTATATTCCGGCACCAAATTGCCATCGCCGAGACTTATGAATGCAAACAAGTTTAAAGGTTTTAGGCTATATTAGTTGTATTTGAGAGGTTATTAGATATTAAAATGTAATTTGTTACTAAATTTATTGATCTGTTTTGGTAACAATTGTCTTCAATCGTCAGAGGAAGAAGAAGAATACCTAGTGTTCAAAAACAAAGTGGGAATTGATCATTTTAATCAAACTTTGCGTCAAATTTTAAATTTGGTTGTAGAGATCATAATCTAATTTGCCTTTAATAGATAAGTCCATGAATTCTTGTTTGTTCTTGTTAGATATTACTTTAATTTGCTTTAAATGTTTGCTATGATGACCATAATTCCATTATTATTAATATTATTATTATACTAAATTCACTAACATGTTACCTAAAATTGTTATCTCCAAACTAAAATAGTGATTGAGTCTGACTCAAGCAAATCAAAACGTTCCTTTTGCGCCAAGGTTCCAAATAATATATTGAGATAGAATAGATCGATGATCCTTTAGTCATTTAATAGGTTATTGGAAAAAAAAAATGGCATGTACTTCCCCTAGTCCCATCTATCTTCAAAAAACACTTATTGTTCAAAAACAAAGTGGGAGTTGAACATGTTAACTAGACAACGGGTCAATTTTGAATTTGGTTGTCAAGATCATAATCTAATAAGTATGCATTTACTAGATAACTTCATACTTGCCAATTCTTATTAGATTTTATTTTAATTTGCTACTAAATACTATTGGTAAAGATCATTTATTTGTGCTTGCTACAAATATGTTGGCTAAACATGCTATAAATAGAGAACAAAGGAAAAAATGTTATCATCAAACACCTACACATATTATTTTCAAGTAACTTGTCTAACGTTAGACCAATTGTTTAGATATGGTTTACAAAGTGATGACTTTTCTTCTTACCTTCATAATGATAGGACTTTGTAAGTCTTTTCCTCTTTAAATTGTACATGTTTTTCAAAATTTTCGATACATGAATATCGCACACTCCTCTTGATTTTACTCCAAGTTCATTTTGTAGAACTTATTGTATGTAGAGTATAATATTTATGTATTTATTTATTCTAACATTTTTTTAGTGGATTGAGACATGCATAGTGGGGCAAAAGTAGTAAATGAAAGACTTCCTCGTATATATGTTGCACCAACTTAAGTTTTTAAATTTTATTTAAATAAAATATGAAAATAAAATTAAAAAATACTTTAATTCTTTCAAGATAATTAAAATATATTAAAAAATATTTAACAAATATAAAAACATTCATCGCATAAATTATTATATATTAGAAAGTTATCCTAAAAATAAGAAGAAATACATATACATTAATATCCTAAGTATCAGATTTAAAATAAGTAAGGTTATTTCGGTATATACTAGATTTTGTTAAAGACATTTTTGATAAGAAGAAAAGTCAAAACTACTTATATTTTTGGGGAGAAACTGTTTTTTTTTCAAAAAAACAATCTTGGCCAACCACCTCAAATTAAAAAAAAAAATACTTTTTAGGAAAAAAACACTTTTGGGCCTAGGAGAAGCTTGGCAAAACAGACAATATTTATCCCATACATTATTTATTATTTATGGTAACTCCAGTCATATCTAATAGTTTGTTTCAAGGTTTTTTTTGTGAATCAGCATAGATAAAGTTTTTATTGTATAGGGAAAAGAAAGATTTGCATGTATATATTTAATATACATTGCTCACTATGGTAAAGCCTTTATTTCATCAACTATAATTATAAATTTTAGAAATTGGCAGGTGTTTCACCAAAGATTGAAGCAAGGAATGTGAGCTATTGTTGTTGCAAGACAGATGCAGATTGTAAGGAGACTTGTGGTGCATCCCCTATCTATCGTTGTTCACTTGGTTTATGTGCTTGCTCAAATTATGGGCCTCCTCAAAAACAAGTTGCAAAAACTAATGAGGGCACAATTGAAGAACCAAAACTTCATGGGCCAAAAATAGAAAAAGAACAATAAAAGCTGGATTTCCTTCGAAATAACTGATGTTCAGGCTTTGATGCATTAGCTAAATAAGAAAACTTTCTATTTCTATACATTTTACCTTCTCATTCTCTTTCTATCAATTTCTTATTAGTAATATTCTTTTGGTTACCTGTTGAAGGTGCCGGAGCACATGAGCAAACTAAAACTTTTGATCTTAAGAGTTCCAAACAAAATATATGACCGTTTTAACACATATACACATGTATATAAATTTTTGTCAAAGTTAATAGGGTTTGATGACTCCTTTTCTTAAAGCATAGGTCCGTCTTTATTTATATGCTGCAAAAAGAAAAAATCAATAGCCACGACAAAAGAAGTTGTATTGGCAAAGTCAAGGCGGCCACAGACTATTTAATGTTCGATTCAGTTTAAGAATTAATCCTTTAATATTAAAAGATAAAATTAAATATTTAAAAAATTTAAAGAGCGTTATAGGTCATAATTTTTGGAATTAAATATATTTGAAAAGTATATGAAACATTACAGTCCGGAAAATGGATGAAATTGCTGACCACCATTAAGAACATAACTAAAACATCTAGGTTAAGGAAGCTAATGAAATTTTCTGAAAAAGAAGAGCCATTCTAGAAAATGAACATACTAAAAAAACTATAAAAAAAGGGTGCGGTATGTCTAAATTAGACAATATAAGTGAAAGCAAGCCAACTCGTCCAAATCTGTGTCTAGATGAAATAATCAAAAAGTTTGGATGAAAAGGATTACATAAAGAGCAAACTTCATTTGTAGCCATTAAGAAAAAATTAATGACAATAGCTAGCCACAAAATAAACTATACAATTATCGGTCCAAAACTAATTAAAAGACTAGCCTTCCGGTACCTTCAAACCCAGATCTCCGGTACTACTTTTCCTCCTGGCATTTCTCGCTATCTCTCTTCTCTTCTACATCTTCTTTAGCTTCTCCTCTTCTTCTCCGTCCCGCTATTCCTCCCGAAACCCTAACCCCGAGATCGATTACTCCTTTGTGGCTTCGCTCGAGAAATTCCTAACCAAATCTCCACTATCCCCGACGGCCGGTGACGATACAGTTGCAGGAACAACGTCAGCTGAGGATGCTAAGAACCTGGACAAATCCGCTTGGAAAAATCAAAATCAAAGGCTTTATGATGAGTCGTATTACCCTGCTCTTTCGCCTCTCAAAGTTTACGTATACGAAATGCCATCGAAATTTACTTATGACTTACTTTGGTTGTTTCATAACATGTATAAAGAGACTTCGAATCTCACCTCTAATGGTAGTCTNTATATATATTTATTTTATTACAAAATATATATACAACATGGACTGTCACTATACAAAAATAGACAGTCACTATACAATTTATATACAATAGACTGTCACTATACAAAAATATACTAAATAGACTGCCACTATATAAAATGTATACAAAATACACTGTCACTATACAAATATATACTAAATAGACTGTCACTATATAATTTATATACAATAGACTATCACTATACACAATATAGACAAAATAGACTCTCACTATACAAAATATATACTAAATAGACTATCACTATGCAAAAGAATATACAAAATATACTATCACTATATAAAATAGACTGTCACTATACAAAAAATATACAAAATAGACTGTCACTATACAAAAAATATATAAAATAGACATTTCGGGCTATTTGATGTAAGATGTTTGGACTGGAGGGTCATTTTGTGTCAATGGATAAAAACATGAGATATTAAAATTTTGAGAAACTATAGAGGATAGTTTTCTCTTGTATAAATAACTTAAATGGGCTCATACGAAAACTCAAAAGAATGAGAAATTCTTTTTATATTGGATTGATATGTGTTAAACCACCTTCTATTTTTATTTTTATTTAAATTTAAAAATGGATAAAGATGTACTATCAAATATAGAGTGGACACTATTTTTTTAAAGAAACTGATAGAGGATTGAATTAGCTAATTATGTCATCTTGTAATACAGGTTGAAAGATTATCACCTAATTTAGTTAGGCAAGGCAAATCTGTTAATTTGAGTGCCTTTCTGAATTACTAAAGAATTTGGTTCTTTACCTTACTCCTTAAGTATAAGCGAAATAAATAATAAAATAAACACAACAATTTTTATTTGGAAAATCACCCGACTCAAAGGCGCAAAAACCAAGACCTACCACGTAGGAATTTAACTTCAACTATACTAAAACAAATGAGCCAAATGTATCGATTATAATACATGTGAATCAATACCCTCAAGTTCTCCTACTTTAATTATTTGACTTACCAGTTACTCTAACTTGCAAACGCAAATAATTACTCCAACTCACTAATTATGTATGACACTTCATTACAATTCGATTTTCTAAAACACATTCACTAACTGACTCAAGAAGAACACTAAAACTAGTAATTGACTTGAGTGTTGAAAATATAGTTACACGGTTGATGTGCAAAGGATGGTGTCCACGGTTCAAAAAGATAGTATTTAAATTTACTAAGCTCAGAGATATTTTAGGAGTCCTATGTATAGTCAACTGCTCATTTGATAGGACTCCTACAGTTCTACGAACTTCACCATTCTTGTAACTCTTGTCTATCACTTATACAAGAATATCTTCTTGGACAATAACTCTTATCAAGTTAGCAACCTTCTTCTACCAAACTCGGCCTCGAGTAACTTTGTAAAAATGTTACTGCCTTGTAAGAACCTTCAACAACGATTTTGAGGACCTGGTTCTTGGAGAATTTTATCAGCTACCTTGAGGACCTGGTTCTTAGATCATTTCCTCTGGACAAACTTTGTTAATCATCAAAACCCCAATACTCAATAAATTGACCATTTTTGATGATGACAAACTTTGTGCGCATAAACCAGGTAATCATCTTATCACAATAGCAGTAGCACACAAAACACACCGTGACCTAATTCAGAGCAAGTATATCAGGTATATAACAAGTACATCAAGCACCCCCAACTCTATCTTCTCCCTTTTGGCATCATCGAAAAAAAAGATGTTAGACAGTTCAAGCACAGTTAATGCAAGATTCATGGCCATTGAGGTTACATCACAAGCTCAAGAAATATCAAAGACAAATAAACTATGTTGATGATAAAACTATGTGAGAAGCATGAAAACAACATAAAGAGAGTGCATTAAGTAGTGCCAAATTAAGCCCAGGGACTTGAATAAAAATATTAGAAAAAAGTAAACTAAAACAACCTGCAACCTACTCAGACCTAAAATAAGACAAAAAATT